TCGTTATAAGGACGGACTGCTTTCTAATTTTGTAACTTGAGGAGATCACCTGACATTACGTCTTGGTATTGTCTCACACAAATGATAGTTTATTATTGAGACGGAAGTATAATATACTAATTAATAATTTCCCTATATACTATCGCGTTATCAAATGCCCGATAAACTAACAACGTTTACGGAAATGGAACTCTATATATTTGCATACCTGAACAGGTTGAAGTTAACTTCTTCAAGATACCTGTCGAAACCAGTTAGAACACGTTAGCTCACCCATGCGTTAAATGCGGAGAGTGTTGACGATAATGACACCTCTAATGCAATCCTTTTTTCAAGTGATAGGAAGTTTGATTTAAACGGACACGGTATAATCCCCAATACGGATTGCCAATGCTTTTAGAGTAATTTGGACTTGTTTAGAATAAAAGGCCTCATCAATGGTGGAACCCGTAAATACACAATGATTGCGATAGTATTGGAGACATCCAGTTCGTTAATTGCTCACTCATGATGATTGCATTCATTCGTTTATAGTCAGCTCATGCCATGCACCCTTTTGTCTAGCTAATTCTATCTCAGCCCCCCCCCATGTGAAGGGTGACTGATATGGGCTTTTTACATCAATTAACACTGTCATTTTCAGTCAGTGTTACTTCCTCCCCGTCACTTCCTTTGTTACTATGGATTTGAACTTGTGATACTATTCCATTAAAGCATTCTTCTGTCATTCACATGCGAATAACGGAATGAAAACATGCAATTTCCCTAAAGCTAGCTGTTGTACATTTCATAATTATGGTCTTAATCGCATCATCATAATGTTAACCACCATTTTACATTTCTTAGAAACCACACCGATATCTGATTATTCTATTCACAATGAGAACTCAAAAATAAATAAAACTTGGAGTGTAAATGTAAAATGGAGGCTAAATATCTAATTGTTTTGTTGATTATACTCGAATAATCTCAAAAATGACGTATATAATTTACTTATTAAACATACAGATAAGTACATACATACATATATAGATATATAAACATACAGAGAGCCACGAAACTTGTTTCACCCTTCAAATAATGTACCATTCGACGTTTGTGGTTTAGGTGACAATGCGCATCTACCGAGTGAAATTATGACAATTTAGTGTATTCCAGAGTCAACGAGGATCGGTCGATCACATGCCTCAGCCAACTTAACCAATTCGCACCCAAATTTGTATCCGTTAGTGAACGAATCTCGAACAGACAGTGGCTTTGGTGGGATACTCACCCAGAGCACTCAAATTAAAGTTTCAAATCATGCAGTAACACGTGACATTGGTGATATACAATTAGCACAATTGACGCACATAGTCGGATAAAATGAAATAATTTTGAAATGACATCAAGATGCACTTCCAAATCAGTAAATAATATCAAGTGCTTCTAAAAATTGATATCAAATACCCTAAATGTAAACGTGTGTTACTAATCAGCACGCCAATAAAAGCCCGATTTCTGTAACACAATTTGTTCACGTCGTATTGTAAAGCTAGATTGGACGACATGTTTGACAACATATTTTACTGGCACCCGCTATTGCTATATTTAAAAAATCGCTTATTGGTATAGATAGGTCCGCGTATAGATGCATTGTTTCTATGGTAAAAATGCAACATTTTTATCAGACGTTTGTATGATCAGATCTTGTATGATCGACTACACAATGTTCAAATCGGTGAACGGTATCATAGTCATATAATGTTATTTCGAAAATTTGACAAGCACGAAATTAAAATTCATATATGATTCAGGGATTCATTTTACACAAACCTGTAATTTGAAGTGTACATTTAATCTGTAATCTGTGGTGAATATTTATGATGCCACGTATTGTATTTAATTCCATTTTATTGAGTTCATGACCTGTGAGATGACTTCTATTTGAACTTGTAGTATCGTCGTTTGAATGCATCAAAATAGTTGCTGTTCATTTGTCATAATGTTGATAGATGTGGTGTTGTTAAAAATAAGTGCGATTCAATACTTTAGTATAAAAAATGAAAGACTCTCCGCACCATATTGGATTAAGTGTCGATTTCATGTGTCATATGTTATCCGCGGTGCTATCGCCGGGTTCGGCTTGTTTAACGTTCAAAACCAGACTGGTGTGCCAACTGATATATGATTGTATATGGGGCGTGTTTGCTTGCTATGGCAAGGCGCATGTGTGTTTTGTTTACTCAAGGGAACACTCAATAGACGAACGAGCATAAACGTAAGCGTCTGGGCACAATCACGTGGCACACCATTTTGTGTTGAGAAATTGTGTATTTCTTGATTCATCTGACACCATAGGCATTGCAATTACTGGGACTATACTCATACTCAAATGCAACGTTCGGTTCGTGTGTACGAATCTGTCATATTCATTCAACTCACTGTCATTAATCTTCTGCACTGGGAGCGAGTTTGAATATGAGCGTAATAAAAAATACTTTACACACGAACAAAGAAAATGATGATTTAAACGTTCATCGACTAACAAAACGTAATGAGCTCATTATTGGAATTACTTTGGAATATCAAAGACTACCGCCTGAATGGAACACATTTATGTACACTACACGTATATATTAATGTAAAAACAATAGTTGAAATGTTATCCGCAACATTCTGCCGCTATTATATACATTGTACCTAAGCAATTGCCTTTCTTTTGTTGTGTTTTAAGAGCGTCTAGTAATTAATTGAAATATACGTCAACAACTCTTAGTTTGTTTTTTATCGAGTACAACATATTTTTTGTAGAAGAGCTATCTGAAAAAGGAATCCATGATCATTATTAAACGAGTAACAATCTCAAAACACATTGTTTTTTCATGAGATCTTGTAATCCTTGAGACAATGGTAAATCGCTCTAAAATTGCGATTTTCGTGAGTTCATCTTTCTGTGTGTAGCATGTATATCTTTTTATTCAGAATTTATGAACTACAGTTATGATTCGTTTATTTAGTAAGGTCATAGTTTATGTAAGTTTGGAGAAAAATAACTAGGGACTGCATACTTGGCAAACGTTCTCCCTGCGCAACTCGCGATAGAGGGTCGCGTTTTCGGGACGAAAGATTAAAGGTCAAGGTCATAATATGTATGCAAGTATGTTCAGTATTCATCTACAGGGGAGTATACCTGGGAAATTAGTCAAGACATAACAATTTTAGAAACAAAATATCAAGGATAAAGGTCAAGTATTTTTATACTATACAATATAACTACATGAACCATGCTACATTTATGAACCAAAGGCCAAGATTAAGGTATATGGTATAGGTATATAGGTATATGGTCGTTATATAACTATAGAGAAGAAATTGCTAAGCCCTCAAGAAATCTAACATACGTGTTGCCCATGCGACTTTCAAAATTTCAACCTTTAGAGCAAGCTCCCCTTCTTAAAAAAAAACGTAAAATAGAACCATGTCAGATAAATCCACGGTCACATTACATATTTCAGCGGGGTGTTTATTTTTCCTCACGACATGTATTAGTTTTCTAAGTGAAATCTATTCATCCAATTTCTGCAGTAAAACTAGTATGACACGCATAGTACGCGTATTGCGTTTTTAAGTAATAATGAAAAGTGGTTCCACTGGCGAAAAAGCAATACAGTTTATGTATTAATGACGCGATCTATCTATTTTTATGTTCACTTATAAATGCATATTTGGCATATAGTAATTTTGAAAATATCGTGATGTTTATAATATTCAGTCCTGCCTGGAGGCTAGTTTATTAGCTGAGCACAAAATACATCATCTTAAATTACAAATAGAAACACTAGACGGCTTACTTGTATCTGATAATAAGCTATACGTGGTATAATTCTCAATGATTGATTGTTTTGAGGTACTTTCGTTATGGAGTTAAAAAGGGTCCCCTGTCTTTGAAAACAGTTGAAAAACAACCTAAGCCTACTCTGTGATTATGTGTTTTTCTTTGATAGTTGACCGATCGCCGTGATCGTGCAAACAAGTATGTGATAACATCAATGGGAATTTGCGGAAATCCATGACCATGAGTATTAATAAAAGAAAGTACATTAACTGGTAATCTGTCATTAGACTGTTTTATAGTACTACTCAGAATTCCTCACATTTACTATTCGTCACATTGCAAGGGAAACACAATATTACTTTTGAATATAATTACCAATAAATTGAATATCACGAAGTCTCTTTGTTTAAAAAAAACACGGCCATACTAGTAACTCAATGAAACGTCTTACCGTGGTTCACTTAATTCATTGCTATTTATTGGGGCTATTATCGTTAGTTCTTTAAAAATAATGCACCTAAGACCAAATGCCGTTGTTGTATCGAGTGGCATTTACTGCTTAAACACGTCAAACAATATTCCACCTCGTTCCTAGTCAAGTCGTACAATAATTACTAAATTCCTTTAAATATACATCTTTTGCATCACTAACTGCACAACGGGTAAATATCTGATTACAAACACCGCGAAATCATGAAAAAAAATGAATTTGTTTTGGTTCATTTGTTTGTATGAACGAGACGGCAGCCACGCGCCTCGCGTGAGCAATTCATCGTGATGATGACGTCATTGGGAAATCCGGCAGCTATCACGCGCGCCTCGAACTACACACTGTATTATATGTACGCACGTGAATTACGATTCACGAATACAACAGCTGTTTGTACGAGAGGAAATGCCATAGACACTATGCCCATGGCATAACACGGATGAATTTCTTTGCAGACAAGCTCATACTAAAAAGTGCAAACAAGTTTTTTACAGGAATCTAAGAAAAATAAATTGATTTTACTGCAGGTTGGCTTAGCATTTATTCATAAGTGGATGAAAATGTGTGTAAATAAATGACTGATATATGGTTCAACTGCTTTCTTGATTAACTAACTATAATCAACATCGCTTCTTTGAACATTTATAGGCTATGAAATTGATTTTATTAGTGTTTGTTTTTCTTCTTCTACAGCCCACATGTTCCCACGCGTGTGAGTCTGGATGGGAATCGTTAAATGGACTTTGTTATTTGGTCTCGACGCAGGGAAATCAACTTCATTACGCTGCCGCAGTGACGAATTGTTCCGGCGAGGGCGCACTGCTTGTAAAAATCTCGGACGCCAGCAAAGACTCCGATATAGACATACTGCTGAACAGTCTCAGTGCGGCCGATAGTTACTGGATAGACTTGAAATACGATGATGTAGGTTTTTGCTTTTCATCACAGTGGTTAACGTTATTTGTACATTTCTGGAGCACTCTTGCACACATTCATGTTGTAGCACACGTAAATTGTAATTATAAAGTATTTCTTGTATACCGCCCTCCCACGTTCACAATTGAGATTAGTGTCTCTACATGCGTAGGATATTTCGCAGTTCCTTGTCATTATACTCGCGCTTCGTCGCAAGAGGGCGCAACTTATAGGAAAAACGTATTAAAATCAGCTTCCACATAGTTTACGTGGCGACTAAGACAAATCTTTGGCACATGCCGAACAGGTGTAGAATGTGATCATAGTTTGTTTACTTTTCTTCGCAGGCTGTCTCCAACTGGATGTACGATAACAACGACGAGCTTGTCTACTCCGCTGAATGGGTAAGTGGATTTGATGTGAATACGTTATCTACCCCTGTCTGTGGAGCAAAGACGTATTCCAGTAGCGACGTGCAGAATATTGGCATATTCGATGTGACACCTGAAATGGGAAAGTGGATGGGTATCCAATGTACTTTACAAAGAGGGTGGATTTGTGAGAAAAATGACGTCACTCCAACGACAGCGGGCGCCATAACGACAAACTCCGCAACGGTGAGTTCATTTTTATTCGAAATATTTTCTTTATTATATTTCGATTTTTTTTATGTATTTACCCACAATTCATAGCGTTTACCCCAAATTCAAAACTAATGTAGTTCTACATGAAAGACGGAATGATTTATTAAGGTACCCGCAAGATGACCGATTGAGTTTTCAGGGCGTCATCGAGACATCGAATCGCACGCGTGGTTTTCTGATGGACGGAGGTAGTAGAGACATTAAGATGCGCATACGAGAACGGAACGAGAACGGATACGTCACTGCTTTGTGCATGACCTCCGCGCGAACCAATGACGTCATCGGTTGCCTGGTCGTTCGGCAGTCGTTTTGAACGTGATCAAGGTGACTGACTCGTAGTTGATTTCCGAGAGCTTTTCTCGCTGTCAATTTTGAATAATTTTCATTGACATTAATAAAACGTTTTATATTAGAGTGTTTTTGAATATTTATGATGAAATAAGAAATATTGGATGCATTTTAGCTGACATTTATACCCACTGAAAACGCATGATATTGATCTGCTGAAAGAGGATTCGGCAAACAGGCCTAGGACCTCAGCAGAGTGGATGGAAATAGTGAGAGCTCTGTCAAAATGTCTGTGAACTAACTACTAATTCTGATTCCGGACGTGAAATGACATAACAAATTAATTTAGGTAGTTATTGTTGCCCAATGAGAGACGGATTGACATGGTTCTGGTTTCAGTTACGTTCCCGTTGTGGGCGCTTGTACTTAATCGTTTTCTGACACCCGAGAACGTAACGCAAACGAAATTAGAACATCACGTTACGTTCCCGTTACGTACGCAAATCTTAAACTCTCTAATAGCCAATACACATGTATTTCATTGAGCATATATTACACATTCCAGTCGTAATATTAACAACGTTTTAATGACTGTAAATCATTGTTGTCTGGGGTTAAAATCTAGATAACGGCACACCGCCCGGAGAGATAATGACATACAACAGATGGGACGATGGCGAACCAAATCCATTTGAGATGGAGGCTAATTACGTTTCCATGGTGATGAATCAAACATCTTTAATGGGTTCATGGGCTTGGTATGATTATGACCGTGATGCATCTCTTGGATTTATTTGCGAGTTCGGCTAGTTTTGTCATAATAATTACGTAATATAATGA